AGCCTCCCAAGTAGCTGGGACCATAGGTGCCCGCCACAACACCCGGCTATTTTTTGGTTGCAGCTGTCATTGTTGTTTTTGGCGGGCCCAGGCTGGATTCAAACCTACCACCTTAGGTGTATGTGGCTGGCGCCTTAGCCACTTGAGCTACAGGTGCAGAGCCAGCCTGTGAGATTTTTCTAGAAGCAATACATACTCCTTCTATGACGACCAGATTAGATGAGAAACCTTCTGGGGATTCTCTTAGCTTTTGTAGTGTACCAGGCTCAGTTATCAGCAAATGACTTTCTACCCCTGAGAAAAAACTATCATTGACAGTAACTTCTACAAGCAATTTCCATAATGTAGGATTTTGCTTCCAAGTGGTCTGTTAATTCTTGTCATAACTAAAAAGTAAGTGTGGTGAGATGATTGCATTTCCTTTTCCTTTACATCTTCTCAGAACTGATGCTGGTTTTTGGAGATTTTTCAAGTTTTTGACTAAAGTAGCTTCTCTTCCAGACTCTGAAGAAGAAGCTATGGAGACCACACCAGCCAAAGGAAAGAAAGCTCCTGCAAAAGTTGTTCCTGTGAAAGCTAAGAGTGTGGCTGAGGAGGAAGACGATGATGAAGAAGATGATGAAGATGACGATGAGGATGAAGATGAGGATGATGAGGATGAAGAGGAGGAGGAGGAGGAAGAGGAGGAAGGTAATTAGATTCTGAAGTACATGGACCTGAGTTATGGGTTTTTTTTTTTTTTTTTTTTTTTTTGAGACAGAGTCTCAAGCTGTTGCCTTCAGTAGAGTGCTGTGGCAACATAGCTCACAGAAACCCCAAACTCTTGGGCTTAGTGATTCTCTTGGCTCAGCTTCCCAAGCATCTGGTACTACAGGTGCCTGCCACAATGACCAGCTAATTTTTGGTTGTAGTTGTGGTTGTTTGGCAGGCCTGGGCTGGATTCAAACCTGCCAGGTCCAGTGTACATGGTTGGTACCCTAGCCGTTGAGCTATAGGCACCCAGCCCTGACTTATGTTTAAAAGAGGTATTTAGATATATGTGGCTATTCATGGTGATACATTTGAAATCTTGTCCAGAGCCTGTCAAAGAAGCACCTGGAAAACGAAAGAAGGAAATGATGAAACAGAAAGCAGCTCCTGAAGCCAAGAAACAGAAAGTGGAAGGTAACTTTCAGAATTAGGGGATGTGAAGGAAGATAAAGTCAAATTGGCACAAATGATGAATGACAAGGGACTTAATACTGAAACCTGATGTTACATTACAATGTGCTGATGTGCTTGTGCAGAGAAATTTTGTACTAGAAA